TTCCTGGTTTAATAACCCGTCATTCTTGGATGCCAAAAGGGATTGACAACGTGTATTCCCATAAATGTATTTTTGGAGCTCCCAGATGTTGTACACTAGATAGTCCAGAGTTAACCGGCGATTCAAAAGGAATGTTGATCGATATATGAAGTGTTTGAAAGAATAGTCGATACAGCTGGTGATATTATCAGCTGACCGGAAGGTTATGTAATAAAATGTGAAAGGTACACTACACACACACATACACACACCTGTAGAGCAGTTTGTTGTTACTCACAAACTTGAGTACCATTTTCTCCTGCTATGCGTACTTCTCTGCCCTAATAAGTGACGTGCGCTAGTCGCTGAGTGTTTTGCAATTCTGTCATGTGGTATCATATGGGCTTGGCGTATGTTGCTTCCAAATCGCATCCCTTCTGTTCATCCAGTTACGTGTTTTGCATCGGATCTAACTGTTGGTCCGGCGTGTCACTCGTAATGGTACAACTTTTGAGGCTGTTATTATGACGCAGTTAACTTCACTTTGCAATTCATTCCATGCATCGTCCGCGGAATCGTAAGTCTGTAGGTCCCAGTCAACAATTGCTTAAAGGTTGTGAAATTTGGAATAGTCAGTAATAGTTCGTTGGGTTTCTCCTTCTCTACCAACCATACTAGCATAACACACATAACCAACTATTAGAACTGAATGGTCGCTACTACTTAGTGGAAGGTCGTGTGCGGCTGACTCAACCATCAACTCTTCATTTGTCAAGATTAGGTCTAGTAACGATGGCTTGTTAGAACCGCGGTGTCTGGTTGGTCGAAACACATGGTCATACAAAACTGCCGAAGTTTTAATTTAAATGTTGGCCCATTAAGGGACACTGAGACAATTGAAGGTACGTTGAAAACACCCATTATAAGGTAATGAGAGTATTTTTTAAACTGTATACTGGAATGCGTTTAACAGAATGTCATCACTCTCTGCGGAGGAGTTCGCTGGCCTGTACACAACTGCTAAGAGGCCAGAATCACACACCTTCTTCTCTCATCCACTATCCCGACCTGCTGGCTGCAGTCGGCGAAATAATGCATCAGGAAATACACAGATGTTCCGTAAGGGTCTCACACTTAATATGATCGTGTTAGTAAATAGCAACACCGTCACCGCGAGATGGACGATCATTTCGAATGACTGACATCTCACTGAGTTCAATCACTAGATCTAGTGTAGTGTTTGAGAGCCATGTTTCAGTCACTGCTACGACATCCCAATTTGTTGTTTCATGTCGATGACGCAATTCTGGCAGCTTAGAGTAGAGCCCTAGAACATTGGTGTAGCAGCATTGTGTTTGACGAATTAGGATCTCGGTTTGCTGTGAGTGACCGGCACAAATAGTGCCGGTCCGTTGGCGATTTTTGAAAAGTGTGTTTTTACGGTTGACTGGTCTGAGGGAGGCACAACCGAGATTCGAATCGTAGATAATGCCCATAGGAATGTAAGAAAACACGGTTGCAAAGAGATCTCTTTTCGGTAACTCACATCAGGCAACTACGTTTACAAGTACAACTGGGATTCTCATAAGCTAATGAAAGCTGAAGCGAAAGTAGGAGAGAGTCTGACTTTATTCGGACGGAAGTTAAATTGATCGGGCCAACTGGTAAAGCCTGTCTTGTCGATACAGGCTGACCTTAATTGACCCCACTTGACACAGTTCGCTGACCACTTCGCGCAGCAAATTGGGTTAGCGGAGAAGTGATGCCATCTTTGGTCTCATCAATGTTCCATGCGGATGAATCCTTATCACGGCCACGGCAGCGTGAGAAATTGCAGTAGCATCCTCTGCTTACAAAGCTCCGGTTGCGTTAACTTGCTCGCTATCGATTCCGCAATCTTAAGGAGGCGTCTCTTAATCCCCTTAGGATATCGTTTTGACACGGTGTAGAAAACGTTGAAAGCATCATTGGTCAGAATTTCGTGTCCACTTTGAACCAGATATTCAAAGATGAAACTTTTGATACTTCCGGCAGTGCCTTTTCGTAGAGACCCGGGACAGTGCTCAGCTATCCTTGTTGACAGACGCCTGGTCGCATGTCCAAGGAACTTAGCACCACAGGTGCAAGTACATTGAAATACAATGTATGATTCGGACTTGGCCGGTAATCTGTCTTTAAGGTGCTGAGTAATAAATGGAGTGGTCTCAGCAAGAACGTGTGGATTTGCTGCTGGGTATGTTCTTGTCGTGCCCCATGCTGAGGCTGATGTTGCATTCTTGATGCTTCTTCACCGCAGTTGGGCTAAACCAACTTACACTTAAACTAGGTCTTTTTAAGCCGGATAAATTTCATTCCGCTTTATTTGGTTTGTTCTGCCTCCCTGAATAATGTTCTATTAACTGGCCACGTTGCTTACAATAATTGCGCTTATCTTCGGTAATTTTGTTGCGTTTGTAGCATTTTAAGTAACTTGTGAACATTTCTTACTTATCACGGATTTGTTGCTAACCAAATTACTTCATATGGTAATTTAGCGAAGAGTTATACCACCGTATCTGTATGCATTATTGGATTTATTTTCTTTCGTCGTTTAAAGTGAATGGCTGTTGTTTGATATCCCTGGTATGGTTGCGCTTGATGTGTATGTTGACAAGGTGCCTACCTGTCTATTACCCACTACATCGTCCATACTGGCTCCAGGAGACAGTTGGTCGTTGCTGGAGGGGACGGGGTGCACGGTTCTTGTGGCCGTGCTAGGCTCAAAGAGCGGTTCCATGCAGTCAGTGTGGAGCGGACTACGGTCCAGCCACCGCCTTGTGTGCGGTTGATTCCCCAAATACAGCGTGCTTGTGTTTGGCTGTGAAGGAGTGTGGGCCGGCTCCGTTGATGAAACGTGGTTCCCATCCACATGCCTCCCGGTCTTATTCCTTCGGGTTTACACTGGATACGGGGTATGTGATTGGAGCTGTGGGTGGTGCAGCGCAAGCCACCCATGGTCCCTCTGTAGGCGCAGGCGTCCTGTGTCTGGCCACAGTGACAGGCAAATCCGAAACCGGATGCCGTCAACCATGTTCTTGTCACTGCAGCGGAAAGTCTTCTTTTCAGTAGATCGAAAGCGATGTCACCTTTAAACGGAACCGTGAGCAACAAACGCTTTTTGGGAACTGTGATGACAGGTTTATTGCGTTCACGAACAATAGCATGCTTTTTTGGTAAAGGAAGAGGGACTATCTGAACATAAGTCGTTACGGTTACCTCCGTTACGTATACTGCTCTCATTTGTTGTGTTGTAGGAATTAGCACAGAACGAACACGTGATTTCGATATGATCGCTGTTCCCCGCTCGTCTGAGCTACGATTGACCTTGGGCGTGTTGCTCACTGGATTCCCGGTCGACAAACTTCTCCGGCCCAATGCTCAATGGTTCGTATGCACTTTTAGGTTGCGCTGCTTACGCCGTTTGGGCTGCTTCAGTTGTTTGCTTCGGTCAGCGGGATCTGTGTCAGCGGGTTTGGTACTGGCGCGTCACTAGGCCCACGGGTAGCCAAAATCACACAGGCTTTGTACAGTGAAATGCACGTAAAATTACAGTGGTAATGGGAGACGACAAAAAAGCCTTTAGTTATGATATACAGTGGTGCACAGTACAAAGTTCTAGGTTGTCTGGTAGCCTTAAAGTAACTCTGTCGAATGGTACCTCAGATACTGATGAAAACTAAGCAAAGTTACACACGTTGGTCTTAGTGAATAGACTTCCGAAGACGTCGTTTGTGGTGTGTCAGTGTGTTGTTGGACTTACTTCGAAAATATAGAACCCGTTGGATAGAGCTCGATGATCCGAATCGATTGAACGTACTTCCGAAGATGTGACACAAGAACATGAAGGGATACGTCCAAGTTAACACTGAGCACTAATTGTAGGACTGACACACGATGCGATCTTGTACACTTGTGCGACCGGTGCGGATTGTTAAGCTGGTTGTTAAGCTCGACTGCTTGAGCGGACCAGCGACACTTCTGCTTGGTGTTCGCTTCGGTTGCAACGCACGACCACTCCGGTGTGCCGTACTTTTTGCGTCCACCCGTGACATTCTTTTATACATAGGCAAACAGGGAACCTTTTGATGTACAAATAAAAGTTTCCCTGCAACCCGATCTCTCTTCTGGAATCGTTAACCTAGCTCCCGCTAAAGATGTCAATTTGCCGATGGAACACTCGACTTACGGTGGTATTCATTGGAGATGTCTGGGTCAATTAGTTCAAGGATCCGTGGATTAAAAATGCGTTCATAGAAAATATTGAATAAGTGTATCTACTAAAATATGCATTTGAATGTAGAGTGGTAAGCGTGGCACACAGTTAAAGGACTGAAGTAACTCGCTGGGAAATTGCGCATACGTTGTTGGTTAGAAGGTTACGCCTTCACCACGAAAGAAGAGGCACATTACCATATTTGGGTAAAATTACAGCCAACCCCGGGCTTGAATGTCACAGTTGGTCTGAACCTATTGCAGGGCACATAAACAGCGGGGGTCTGAGAATGTCGTTCAGTCTGTTAGTGAGTCAGTCGAAGACGTTAGTAATGGCTAAAACTGTCCGTCTATCCCAACAAAAGCTCTTGGGTTTAGCATATATGGTGAAAATAAAGGTGGAAATTGTGTCGACGAGACACAAAATTTAAACTTCCCCAACGTTTGTTCGCTGCGTTATCGCGATTCGGCAGGAGAGACTACATTTGAGAACAGGAGAAAACCCAGTTACTGTGCCATGGACCAACAGAAACATCGGTGCTGAGCTGGAAGCCGACCCAGTCAACGTTGGTTAATTATCGATCATGAGCACGCTCTCACTGTCCATCCACTCCGCTGCGTCGACCGCTTTGCTTCAAGGTCATGGGCCGTCTTACATGTCTGGACAGGATGGGGGCGTGGTGCATGAAGATTTGGCCAATCGCAAGTAATTGCGCTTAACTCAACTCCATGGCTCGCAGCGATTCACGCAGTGCGGTTCCTTTGCTCGGATGTTTCGCACCTTACTGCTAGCTTGTTGTTTCCTCTGGACTGCGGCCTCGGATATGGCGGCCCCTGCATTCCACAGAGGTTTAACACTGAATGCAGATATCATCACCTGCCAAGGTCACAATGTAACGCTCACATGCCGCCACCGAATCGCAGGATTGGACGCTAATGTCACAATGTACTGGATTCCCGAGGGGTTTGTTCCTAACGGCACGCTCATTACCGGCCCCATACCCGGAATACCGTCATCAGAACTACTCTCCCGCCTCGGTACCAACGGCAAGTTGGTTGCGGTAAGTGTGGGGATTTATTTGGTTACCAAAGTTTAACAACGATGTCACTGGTATTGCTTTCGGTAGCATCAAAATTGCATTGAACAATGCATCAGCCATAATTCAGCGTATTGTTAGAGATTGTATATATCTGTCGCTATAACAGACCTAAGTAACGCGAACTGCGGTCTGGTAACTGCCACCGTAAAGCAAGATACGTTGCGGGGGGGGGGCGGTAATGGACTGTTCATACGAAGATCTATCTACAAGCTGCGGTAGCGAATAAGTATACTGGACAGACGTGTTCTTCGCAGTGACCTCACCAACCGTTGTTCACACTGGTTCTGTGTTTTGTTAGATGTGCACAGTGTAGAGTTTGTCGTCCGTGAACCAGCACCAGCATGTCCCCTACGTTGCATGCCTGCTTTTGTTGGCTCGCTTTGGATGTTTTTGGAGTAGCTCTTTGTATCAGTTGTGAATTGTGTGCGGTGTGGAAACCGGATATGACGAAACAGTTGAGTTTAAGTCGGGTAAATATCTGAAGGGCGCTTGTGGTTGAAGCAAGTCCTCGACCTTCTCTAGAATCCAACATTCTCTGCTTTAATGCTTTCCCTCAACTGCTCAGCAATGCGCCCACTGTCAGACTCAGTGCTTCGCTAGTTATGTCCAATTTTATCACACTGAACTGCAGACGTCCAGGATGGTACCCGCGGTTCTCAATTGAACTGGTTCTCGTGGGTGACTATTGTTCAATAGCCCACCCACATTTGATTACAAGCATGCTACTGTGATCATAAGCCATCTAGTTCTGTGGGAAGCCGCTCCGTGGGCCACAATATTCACCAAATTTAGGTATTCTAATTTTTCCCTGAAATCACTCATAATGCTCTTGAAGAGAATGGGAACTCGCAGGATGGGTTAGATTTTAAACATATGCGTTCACGTCATCACCGGTGCAATACGCTTTCCGTCTTCCATCTGAACAGGTTCTATACCCACTTTTGTGAAGTGGGACAATGAAATTCGGCCACCAAAATGCTTCCCACCTTGATGAACATAACACCTCAGTTGCTTTCCCCTCCTACTTGGATATGTTAACTTGTGATTGCGACTTCAGATTGTCTACACTCGGTTCATGTTCCGGTTGCACACCAAGGCACTTGTGGGCGGGACTCATGTTTCCTTATCTTTGATTGAATATGATGGTCGTTTCCTTGCTGTTTGGTGAAGTCGATAATGGATTCCGACGGATGCTTCTATAGTGATCCTCGAATTTGGTCATGGTGCATGCGTATCTTTCAGTCAGTACCGCAGCACCTTTTATCGTCAGCTGAGCATCTTCAATAAACTATTTCGACACCGATCTGGTGGGAAACTTGTTCTTCCCATGCTTCGTTCAGCTTATAGCACAGAGGTCATACACTAAGTATTGGATACGCAAATAGACGACGGACCATAGGTGAGCGGAGGAACACGCATAAAATGAGCCGGGCAACTTTTTCTTGAAATGACGTTAGTCCATTTGACGCTAAAAATAAGGCACCAAGAGATACCTAGCTTTGGAAGAGGTAAGCGCGTGCGGAGTTCGAAGTTCGCCACAGATATCAGGTCTTGTCCTTGCCCGGAAGTCGGGTGTGTGTGTGTGTGTATACATGTTGACTCAAGCAAACGTAACATTCAAACGAGCAAGCCGCTTAGTTCTTAGGTCCTTAGTAAAACAATAATTTTATTATCTTTTGCGCAACAGTCCACAATCAAACAGAGGAGATCTCTAGATAACTACACAGCCCCTTCTTAGAACGGAACCGTAGGTGAGGACTGCACGTCGTCGGCCAACCTTTTGCAAAAGCAGGTAATGGAACCTGATGTAGTTGTTGGAGGAGCACCAATGCGGTCGGACCGTGGCGAACTCTCGCCTTGTCCTTCCTAAAGTTGTCAAAAACACAAAACGGGGGAATAATCGTGAGCATCGAGTGTTGGCTTACATTTTATCCTCCCAGATTCGCATATGGAAGACAAATAGATGCACACAAAGGTACACTGTTGGCGAGGGCAACAACGATGATGATACTTATGGGATTGAGTAATGCACCTAAAAAACCCTTTGTGTACATCTTCAAAACAGTTTCGACATTTTTGACGTTTTTAAAACGTTTTATTGTCGGGATTTAATACGTTTTGCCAGAAAGAATAGGTACGAAAAGAAAACTTGTAAGCATAAACTAATCACTTAAACGCGCTAGCCGATGAACGTACCTGCTTGACCTAATCCACTCATGGGTTTCTGTCGAATTCGTTGTCAATTTAGAGGTTGCATCGGATCGCGAAGTCCGAGAAGCGGCTGATGGTATGCTCAAATGGTCTGCATAGACCATCGACACGGAGTAAAACGAACGGACAGTGTATTATTTTTTGAGGAACAAAATACTTGCACCATAGTTCTCGGAAATTAGTTAGCTTGTTGCGCCACACACTCGTGGCTAGTTGTCGAGCGTAGTTCGCGTCATAGCGAGGAGTTTTTGAGTTCTCGGAAAAGGCGTAACCAGGTAAACGCAGAGATTGTCCATAGACCAACCTGGCATTCGGCGTCTGTCGATCGGCCTTTAGGGCTGATCAGACACCAAGAAGTATCATAGGCGGACGTTCAGTCCAACTCAGCTCATCGACTGGCTGAGTGAAGGTTTCAGCTGCCGGTGGAAAGCTTCCACGATACCATACACTTACGAGTGACGGCCTGTGATACGAATACATTGATATCCGATGGCCTTAGGAATATCGCTAAAAGTCGATTCAAATGCGGACCTCAATCGGTAGTCACTGTGGCCAGACACCCATGTGAAGCGACTCAGCGCTCGACGAGAATGCGCGTTGCGGTGTCCGCAGATACGTCTGCGATTGGAATGGCCTCAGGCCAACAGGTAAAACGGTCGATCATAGTCAAAATGTAGACCATTCCCTCAGAGGGCGCCAACGGTTCATCTATATCAAGACGGACAGGAGCGAAAGGAGCTGAAACGGGCGGATAAAGACCAAGTAGAGCGGACACAGAACGCTTTAGCTTAGCTTGCTTACATGTGAGACAGTTGCGTGCCCAACACTTAAAATCGCGTTACATCCCGAGCCAAAATTATCTCTCAGATATGAGCTGAACGCTAGCTCTAATGGCTGGCTAGTCGACGTTATAGAACGTGTCCCAAACAAGACGGAGAAAAGTTTCTGGAATGACGAGTCGAGGTCGCCCGGCAGAAGTGTCGCCTAAGATCGTGCCATCGGATGACGGCAGAGAGTGAAGTGACTTTCCAAAACTGAATCATGAAGTCGCGAAGAACACTGATCGGTTTATGGCGCAATCGATGGACGGGCGCTGTATTCACATAACCAGCCGTTCGTATGGAAGAGATAAAGAGAAAAGTGCTAATAGGCGTGATATACGTTTAGTACCGAAACGTACAGGCTTGCTACGCTGAAACGCACTCAAGGCAGGGCTAGCTAAGGAAAGTAAAAGGGGAGTGAAAGGAGGCAACGTTCGGGTCGCGTTCTGGAAGTATGTGTTTATAGACAAAAGTAATGGACATATAATATATGGATATAATATAATATAATAATATAATAATAATATAATAATAAATAATAATAATAATATAATATGGATATAATATATGGATATATAATCATATAAATATCTCCCTGTACTCTATTCCACTAACTTACACACATCGCTTCAGCCAATTGTATTCGATTTCCATAACATTTTTGTGTTCGTGGCATTCCGTGAACTATACTTCCTGACCTCGTGCACTTAGCTAGGATCTGTTGGTAAACAACTTATTACATATGCTATTTACTTAAGGTTTATATCACCGTTTCCTTATGCATTAATCGAGTTTTTCTCTTTTTCTTTCTCTCTCTCAAGTGATTGGTTGTTGCTTGATATCCCCGGTGTGGCTGCGCTTGATGTGCATGTTGACAAGGTGCCTACCTGTCTATTACCCACTACCTCGTCCATACTGGCTCCAGGAGACAGTTGGTCGTTGCTGGAGGGGACAGGGTGCACGGTCCTTGTGGCCGTGTTAGGATCAAAGAGTGGTTCCATGCAGTCAGTGTGGAGCGGACTACGGTCCAGCCACCGCCTTGTGTGCGCTTGATTCCCCAAATACAGTGTGCTTGTGTTTGGCTGTGAAGGAGTGTGAGCCGGCTCCGTTGATGAAACGTGGCTCCCATCCGCATGCCTCCCGGTCTTATTCCTTCGGGTTTACACTGGATATGGGGTGTGTGGTTGGAGCTGTGGGTGGTGCAGCGCAAGCCATCCATGGTCCCTCTGTAGGCGCAGGCGTCCTGTGGCTTGCCACAGTGACAGGCAAATCCGAAACCGGATGCCGCCAACCAATGGACATGCAACAAGCAAACTGCCTAATGTTTCTGGGCGCTAAGGGTATTATAATTTGGCAATATTTTGCACATCATACGAGGAAATCTCCAAGTCGTCATTTGTTTGCGCAACGGCCACGGTAGACACGTCCATCGCCTGGCTGACGGTGCTGGTTTCGGATACTCTTTACAGAGCATTAGCGACGACATTCAATTGACCAGAAAAGTGTCGGATATCAAACGACATTTGAACAATGAAATCCAACTGATGAATCTCACACGGTGAGTGTCAAGCCGACTACTTTCGAAAGATGATCGGTAAAGATCATGAAATGGCTGTCTTCCAGGACGTGTCGGATTTGCCGGACATTCGCGTTACCAGCCTGCAATTCTCGACTACACATGTTGTATTTGAGTTCCCTTGGTTGTAAGCATCTCGAACATCGAACATCCTTCGGTAAATTGCTGAGGACAGCGCTAATGGCCTTGTCCGATGCTCGAGTTCGGCTCTAGCAATTCGAAGCTTGTTTGAATTTAGTCTTCTGACCTTTGCGAAAACAGGCGGTTCTTTCGTACGGAACTTATGTGTCACGTCATCTGTTGCGGTTGGCAACGGAGTAACTGCACGGAAAACTTGTGGGAAGCTATCGAGGACCATCTGCCCGATTGGCGAACTCATCAGATTCGCCTACGTGTCGTCCGAAGTCCTATTGACTGCGGGATTATCCGAGAAATTGATTAGGCAGTGTTACTTCAGGTTTACAAGCAAATCATAGTACTATAGGAAATCTAGTCCGAGGACAGTTGTCAGCATATTGGCAACAATGAATATCCACTTGAAGGGTCGTCGCGAGTCGAGGTTGAGCTTGCACGAGTGCTGGCCATGCACGCGAATGATAGTCCCGTTAGCTGCTCGCAATGACCTAGTCACCATTTCAATAACGTCGTTGGGATTATGTGGACTGACGCTGACTTCTGCGGTGGTATCAACGAGATAGTGCACTCCCGTTTTCCGATCTGTAACAAAGAAAAGGAGGTTGCCTTGTCTAGCTACGTCCGTTAGCAGTCGTTACTGTAGCCTCTTAAATTAATCACTAACTGTCGTGCGCAAACGGCTGGTGCTTGTGCTTCCCCGTGGGAGACCCATAAACACGCCGACTTGACAGTTCACGGATATCTCCGACATCAATGGAGCGGTTGGAGTAGGGCTAGCCTCCGTCCCGATGTCCCACAAAATACGAGTGACCACAAAGTGTCCGCAGGAGTGACCGTTAGAGCTACCTGAGTGACCAATTTTTGTGCCCCTGGTCTCCCATCTGAACTCTTTTTGGAGGACCTTGTCACCCAAATTTTTTTCCCAACGCACCCTTACTGTATACCGTGAGTACCTTTTCCTGGTTGCAAATACCGTCAATTCTAAGCGGAAGCCCGTTCCCATAGTGTAGTTACACGATGCTGTGGCCGTTAGGCTAAACCGGAAATGATTTTGAGTGACCAAACTTCGTTCCAAGTGTGTCCAAGTGGGTTGGCTAGGGGCACAACAATTGGTCACTCGCGTCGACTGAAATTTTCCTTAAACTACAGCCTTTCAGACAAAGAACGGCGGTGGTAAAATGGTATAACCTTATTTAACAAGTTACCTGAACATACCACGCCATTTATTTTCATATTTAGTGTTTGCTTCTATGGGTGGCCAAAAACGCGCCCAAATGGGATGGCTGGCCGTCCATGTGTGCGGACAGGGGATGGCGCATTGACCATATCCTTACGTCAGCTGCGCGTTTGGCTCCTGATCATCCCCGGTTGTCAGTTATTTTTTTGTCATCGGCAGTTTCACTAGAACGATATGCTTCTCTTTCTGTGTTTCTGTTACTTACACTATCGTATCATTGTCTCGGACTCAGGCGCTTCCGACAAACGACCTATCCAGCGGCTTTCTTGACCTCCCATTTGCTTAACTTTCCTGTAATTGCGTTTATCCCCTTTTTGTTTGTTTTTACTACCATGGTGTTGCACCTGAGTTCACCCCACTTAAATGCTTAGATAGCGGCTAATCAGCTGAGCAAATGAAACCAGAGCGTCAAGACCGTCCATTTCACGGACTCCTCGATACATTCACCCAGTACGTCACTTCCAGGGTTTGGTCTTCCTGTGTATCGGCCTTTACTGAGTTCTAACACTGCGCACCCAAGACAAGTGAATTTTCAGCTGCAGTTTCTTGTACTCGGTGCTTGAGGACCAGATACGCGACGCTCCATCATTACTCTGATCTGTTCCCCACTTGCAACAGAAAAAGAGCCTTCGACCCTACCAACTTTCCACGCTCGATCCTGAGGTTCAGGTGCAAAAGCGAGTTTTATGAGAATCGCTGTTTCCCTTTCTCTGTATTATTCATCTCAGGGTTGGTCCATTGATATTGAGCTCCTGTGCGTTCCGATATCACATACCCTGGTTCCCTTTCATAGTGCTCACCCATAGAGACCACGAGAGCTGCACTACAAGCCTTTTAAGGTAACGCATGGCATGGCCCATCCACCCACACGACAACGGTTTCCTTAATCCTACGGTTGCCCATCGGTTGGCAAACAAATGTAATTTCAGTTGTCCGAGAGTTTCCCACGAATTCACTCTACGAGTCGTCACTACCAGTTTGGAAATGTGTGTAGAGGTCCACCTTCTTGGCGCTGTCACATCTCTCCTTCCGTAACCCAAGTTTGTGAGTTGGTTCTTGAATCCGTTTAGGTTGCGAATTTTTCCATCAAGATACATTGATTCCAGACATCAGAATGACTGTCCATATCGCCTTTGGTACATTCTCGACTAACAATCTTCTGCCACTCAGTCTGGTGCGTCCATACACTTGGGTCTGCATCGAACGTGGCTGGGTGCCGGTAAACGTCCACTACGAGGTCCTTTAGAGATGACTATCATTTTCCATTTCTTGTTGCTGTCAACTGCTTTTCATCTTTCACGCTGCAATTAGATGGAACTTTAGGGTTTGTGAGCTAATTTTCTCAATGTTTACTTATATATAAACATTTCCATAGATACACCTGCTTCCTGTTGCACTTAAGATTACCCTTCACTCATTAGCCTTAACCTCAAATCCACCTGTTAAGGGCTCCTCTTCGAACTCCGTCAACCAATGTGTGGTTAAAGGCATCTGGCGTTGCAAACTTACATTGTTGTGTGCTTTGCTATGGACTGCCCAAAACAGCGTGGAGACAGAGTAATCAGTTACATTGATTAACCTGGGAGATTGGTGTTGATTCACACCTTGAAGACTTCTCCAAGCCTCCGAAGGAGTAAGCAGTCAAAGTGTGGTCTCGAAAGCCATTTCGAAGAAATTATCTACATTGGTTGTTCATGCATTTGGTGTAAATATGCCGCCTATTATCTTACAATTTACTGCACAGTCCAAATCAGAAAGTAACTTGTTTGAATTCGGTTTGTGAGAGCTGCGTCAGTTAATGTGGATTTTATCAGGCTTTAGGAAATTCAGTTTATGTTCTTATGCAAAGTGGTGGGATGCACTTTGTCATCAGCGATTCTGTAGATTTGAGTACAAATGGTAGAGCACTCACATTTTAAAAAAGAAACAACCGGAAACCAGAGTGCGTCGCATCTAATCGGACGGTGAATCCTTACTGCCCCGAATGAAATCGAGCACGTCCCGTTCAGAATTCGCCGGGCATTTTTGTGTTAGCACAAATGGACCATCTTAGTTGCCATTGTTCGGTAAAGCGACCGATGCTAATATGTACAACATATGCTTCGTCGTGAATGCAAAGCGTCAGGATCGCGGGTTATATGACTTAATCGACGTTGTTCGCCACCTGATCTTCGTGGACCTGACGCGGGGACAGAACCTCTTGTGCCAGCCACATGGAGGTTCCATCACAAGCGATGCGGAAGTGTGTTTCGAATATTATTACCTAACGAGACATTAGCAAACAAATAACAGTTCCTGCAACATTTGAATTTTGGCTGTTTTCGCTTGCCCTCTGTCACACATTGTGCTTCAAATGACACGCAGCTGCCCCACTCATGTACTTCATTTTCTTATTTCAGAACGGAAAGTTTCGACACGTGAAGTCGGGCGAGAATGAATACTCCGAATTTACACTGAACCTAGAGTCGATTCGGCAGAGTGACGCAGGTGTGTACATATGTGCGGCCAATGCGGATCTCTTGTTAGCACTCCGATACACAAAGGTGTCAGTACTTTCAACCTGCAACCGCGGTGAGTGTCATTCCTTGTTGCAAAGTACTTTTGCTGGTAGAATCGATACCATAAAATAAGAGGAGCCCACAATCTTTCATACCGCAAAGAGTGTGCTGTCGTGCGCCTGTATTGCTGCACTTCCGGGGTTCTACCGATAGAAAGGCTCCTGATGGGGATAAGCCGGGCAGGCCTAGATAGATTTGCCATGATGATAGTCACCGACTTAGGACCGAGCTATTTGGACCGACTGCGGCAGGTGCCACTTTACTCCTTTCCACAGTTGTATTTTCTAACTTAGCGCAGCAAACTTTGTCAAAATTTACTTATGGTTCTGAATGTCGTTTTAATGTTTATCGAAAAGCAACCAACTTCACTCTGCGATATCAGATTTATTTGCATTTTCAAACTATTCAACTGCAAACAACCCGGACACCTCTGTTTCTGTTAGACGTTTCCAACTCTTTCATTAACACGGGCCTAGTTGTATTTATTACTTCGCCACTTTAGGTAATGTGATAGTTGACCTCCATCAGGTTATAATGGGGTCCCTATCACGAGCTTATTTGACACATCCTACATCATACGGTTCTGTCTGGTGGATGCATGTTAGTCCTGCAAGTTGCCGTTTCGGGCTATGCAGTAACCGCTCATCACAAATGTTTGCCCAGTTGACGTCAGTATGGTTCAAACGGTGGAAGGTTTCAGTTTGGTATTCAAGAGTTGCAGCCGCTACTCAGGGGGTGAGGATAGTACTCGTCCTAACCACAATGTCGACACTAGCTTACGTTTTGTAATGTCCCATAAACGATGAGTTTCCGCTATCACTATGCTGTCCTGATTTCATTTACCTAGATAAATTGATTCTTGTGGACACTTTCCATTCCAGTCGGTCGACCTCCTTGGTACCTTGGAGTTGTGACGTTCGCCGCCGTTCTGCTCATCTGCATGACTGTATTCTTCTGCCACAAATGGCACGTTAAAAACTCAAAACCGCGCACCCTCCGATTAATTTCACTCTCCCATCCGGAATGCACTAATTCGACTTCAGACCCTGGCCCAGACAACGACTCTGGTATCTCACAGTGCTCGCGCTACCATGACGATTATCCCAAGGCTGTTGCCATTCCTCACGTCCAATTCGAACAAGTTTCTATCCCGTCTGGTATTGGTTCACAACTATTACGGTTGGTTACGCGATCCACAAAGCACCTGAGAATCAGAGCCCTTGCAAATGTTTCTATGCTGTCTCACGGCCATGCACAAGAGGCATCCCAAGCGACTCGATTGTTACACCATTTGGACACCCGATTTGCCAGCATCTACCGAGTTCAACCAGATGCTAACTATGAGATTCCAAGGGAGAACCTCAAAGTGGGCTCTTACCTTGGTGGTGGGGCTTTCGGTGTTGTGCACCTTGGTACGGCTCTGGATTTACCAAATCATCCTTCCGGCCAAGTTGTCGTTGCAGTGAAAACATTAAGAGGTAAGTTGGTGATGTATCTCTACTCCACTTTATGTACAGTTGACGGCTACCTATCTGTCGGTTTATTTGAAATTGTCATTTTTCCCACACACCCTTACCATATACCGCGAATGCGTATTTCCTGGTTGTAAATATCGTCAACATTAATCGAAAATGGATTCCCAAATTGTAATTACGCAATACTGTAGCCTTTAGGCTAAAGCGAAAATGTTTTTGCGTGACCGAAATGCGTCCTAAACATACACATTAGGGAAGATTTTTGGTCACTCAGAATGTCTTCATGCGCACGCTTACCATACACCGTGAATGGATTTTTGGGTTACATATACCGTCAACATTAGGCGTAACTCTATTCCCAACTATAATTACGTAATACTATAGCCCTTAGGGTAAACCGAAACTGTTTTTAAGTGGCCTAACCTCGCCCAAAAGGTGTCCAATTGGGACGGTCGGGGCACAAATATTGGTCCCTCAGGGCGTCAAAACGGTCACTCGCGTTGGCTGAAATTACGATTTAATAAAATGTAAAGCCCTTTAGGAAAAGAACAGCGGTACCAAATATGGATGCACTTATTTATCGACATATCTGGACATGGTTGGCGACATCCGGTTTCGGATTTGCCTGTCACTGTGGCAAGCCACAGGACGCCTGCGCCTACAGAGGGACCATGGATGGCTTGCGCTGCACCACCCACAGCTCCAACCACACACCCCATATCCAGTGTAAACCCGAAGGAATAAGACCGGGAGGCATGCGGATGGGAGCCACGTTTCATCAACGGAGCCGGCTCACACTCCTTCACAGCCAAACACAAGCACACTGTATTTGGGGAATCAAGCGCACACAAGGCGGTGGCTGGACCGTAGTCCGCTCCACACTGAGTGCATGGAACCACTCTTCGAGCCTAACACGGCCACAAGGACCGTGCATCCTGTCCCCTCCAGCAACGACCAACTGTCTCCTGGAGCCAGTATGGACGAGGTAGTGGGTAATAGACAGGTAGGCACCTTGTCAACATGCACATCAAGCGCAGCCACACCGGGGATATCAAGCAACAGCCAATCACTTGAGAGAGAGAGAAAGAAAAAGAGAAAAACTCGATTAATGCATAAGGAAACGGTGACATAAACCTTAATTAACTAGCATACGTAATAAGTTGTTTACAAACAAATCCTAGCTAAGTGCACGAGGTCAGGAAGTATAGTTCACGGAATGCCACGAACACAAAAATGTTATGTTAGGGACATATCACGCTATTTATCTACATATCTACGTTTCGCCTCCGCAAGTGACCAAAAATACGCTCGAATGGGACGGCTGACCGTCTATCTGTGTGGAAAAGGGGAGCCCCAATTCCTGCACGCTCTCATCCACTGCTGGTTGCGTTTGGTGACTATCCAACCATTTTGGCTTGAAAAGCAACCTACTTTAGCCGTTTCCAGAGTATGCGTGTCATACAGTGGCTCACAACTATAACTGGCCGTGAATAGTGAACAATTGCATGCATGCACAAATGTGGTTGCTGCGCATTTGTTGTTAGTCCTTCGTAAATAAGCAACTTGGGGTAAATTGAAACCAGATTTCTTGCTGTTAGGATTTCTGGCCTTAAGGGCTACTCATTGTGTTCGTCTTGGTTATCCCATTGCGGCAGCACTACAGCACTGTGTTAGGTGCCTTATGCCGCTGAGCGCTTCACCGTATGCACTCCTTTCGCATGGACACCGCATGTTACTTCGGCCGTTGCTTGGATGGACAGTCTGCAATTTCGAACTAAAAGTTGTCTATCGGATTGTTATGAAATAACACTGCACATAACTCCGGCCTAACTCACTGGCGTAAGGTTAGTCGCTAACCAGGTAACGGTGTGCCATTTGGGGAAACTGCCAACACATCAGGACAATGTTGACCTCATATGACTTTGTGGGTTGCCGTAATCTGACCAGTCATCTTAATCTCATCTGTTGTGGCACAGCAACGCGCTACGGACTGCAGTAAGTGTCCCATACAATCTGCTGTGTTCGCTCGTTCCACACTCGAAGTATGTTCAAGTCGGGCGAGTTCCTTGTTAGTTAGTTTATTACTAACATTTTCAACATGCCGTTTGAGATATGGTTAATCCCAACGGTCTAATCTCGCTTGTTTTTATGTGCTATAACCGTTCACCTTCGAATGGAGGCTGCTTTGTAGGTAAATGTTTTGCGTGTATATGGCCGAGGTCACTGAGTTGCGGTTCAGTTATTTGATGGCTATATCGGCGCAACAAAGCAGGTTTATATTACCCTGACTGACTGAATGTCACACGTGGGTTCTAACGTGTCCACTGAACTGACACGGGACAATGCGCAACTGTTATGCCCCCTATGGAGGACAGCGTTGTAAAGAAGAAGGCCCACCTTATTTAGCATGCCAGCAAATCGTTTATTTGAACTGGGCTTACGCAAAGTGAATGTACTTTATTGCTTTTCGTGGGCTATTAGACCCGTAAAACTCGAGTTTAACAATCCCATAATTTTGGCGCTAGAATAGGTGGAACATTTGGCAACTACTGGCATGTGACCAATCCATCGTGCCGTTGCAACTGTTCTTTAACTGATGTGCCGTTCACTCGGGCTGTGGTCGCTCGCCTCTTGCTTCGCCTTCACCGACCAAGGTCACTGTCGGGGCAGGGTGACGCCACCTGGTTTCCCTTGCTATTGGGGCAAGGTTGTTTGCCTACCGTCTCCTGGCCCAGCGAGGACTCGGCTGTGCCTGTTTCTAAACCCGCCCCCGCACTACCCGGTGCTTTGTCCAGACATTGATACCAGCCTTATCGATTAATCGACAACATACCGCTTAGTTAGCCGAATGACTTTGTCACGTGCACATGGCCAAGATGCCCTCACTGTCGCTTCGTCGCACGGTGGTTAATCTCTGGCATGCTAGCGTGTACCGACTAGTCAGGCCCTCATCGAGTGCGGTAAGCTCTGCCGCCTGGATTGGGTACCATACGCATTCAATCACGCCACACCCTGGTCGAAAGTCGCGTGTTTACTGAGACCCAATCTGTATTGCCATCGGATAAGTCAAGACACGAAAAACGGTCGTCCTAGTAGACCATGACGGTGGCCGTATTCACTTCACCCAGCCACCCAGGCACTGTGGTATGTTTTGGAGGTAGGCTGCTAAATTGATTGTGGCTTTTCGTGACAGCAGGAACTCATATGAGATGGCTGGATTCACTATTAACGCGCTTCCCGTTTATTTCGATTTCAGTCTCCTACTTGTTCTGAGGTGAGGATAGGGATGACACGAAAACAACCCGTCCTTTTAAGACAGAGATAACACGTTTATTTCCACGATAGGAATTACTAAGCAGAAGCACCATGGTTTGTTTAATCAATCGAAACGCAAATTTGACCTGATTCGTATCCAAAGACCAATCCCCTTTGCTTTGTTGCACAGAGGGCTGGTCGGCTGTTCGCCGTGCACTTCAGTTTACGGTGCTCGGTTCATCTTGGTGGCAATACTAGCAATCACCGTCCTCTTGAGTGGACCGATGAGCTAAGCGACAGTAAAGGTAATAAACGAATCTAATGCCAAAGTAGGGTTTACTTTGTAGTATACTTTGTGTTCACGCGGTGTCAGGTTCGTAAGTCGCTCGCGGAATCCAAGTACAAGACTAAACGACAGGTGCCGAATGCATAACAAACCGAGCGACAGATCAACAAGAAAATGGAACCTCAGCTGACCAAAACTGTAACGCGAAAACGTTAAAACAGGAAATTTGGCGTGCCCAAAATGATGCTTAATACAAACGAAAGTACTAATATTGAGTTTGATAAATCATTTTGCATACGTTATGTTACGCGACGAAGTGCGTGATCGTCTCAAAATTCCATCCGGTTACGTTTACACTTACGATTATGCTACCACAGTTGATCTTTCGTAAAGCCTGCATGAGTGCTGAGCCAGTGGTCGTACACGAACGTGACGGCGACTAACACCATCGGGCAGGTTGGTTACGGTGAGAAGTATGATGGACCGAACTGTTTCATCCACCATCATCATTTTCCTTACATATTAGCTGAAGGTGAGAAACACTTTGTGCCGCCATACGTAAAGATGACATACGAAAAAGCAAGACAGTGGGCATTATAGAATGCAAAAAGGCGCATCAGTACTTAGTAACATCTTGTGCGTCAAGAGAAAGATCGTGCTTGGAGGGAGAAGATAAGCCGGTTGGGGAAGTACCAAGAAACTCACAACACAAACGCCGTTGAAGTCGGCTCTTGGCCATATCAATTAGCGTATCCAACCAAAATTGTTCACTGTCCTTCAGACCCCAGCTAGGTAGTCGAGACACACCAACCGACGCCAATATCGAAGTGAGGGACTTCATTCCCCTTGACCAAGTCATGGTTTGGACTCCTCTCTTCTTCCATCCACATCCCCGGTGCTCAAACAACGCACGTCTCGAGAGCCGGTGGGATGGCGTGGACAACGCTTGGTTTAATCGATCAGCGACTTTTGCATTAACAAACCTTCCGGCGAATGTTGCTAAATTGTGCCGTGGTTAGCCTAAACTTCGAGTGGGTAGATAGCAATAGCTCCAGTCCTTCGGATTAATCAGTCAGTTGTCGTGTTCACCGAGCTGGACAATTTGGTTACCAACGTTTCGTCACTATTCGAGGCGACATCATCAATGTAAGCATGATAACAGTTTCGCAGCCGGATCTGGTGAACGGTAAATCCATCTTTGGATGATGTCACTACGAATGGCAACGAAACGTTTACAATCATAGTGCCCAGCTCGGCTAACACCACAGGAACTGAACAAGCCCCATTAACTACCACTATTTTAAGTGGTTTCGGGTAAATCAGTTGATCGGATATGACGATGGATATGACGATGCGTACCAGTTTCCACTCACGTCACTCTTGTTCCAATTCAAATTTCCGCATTTCTCGTGGGTGGGCGAGCGGAAATCGGTATCATAGGTGGCAAGGATCAGAAATGTGTCGACGTCCTCTGATGTTACTTTGTTTGTGCTTTATCCTGGTGTTTATCACCAGCCTGTGCGGTGCACTTAAGCGTTACTCGAATCAAGCCTGCAAAACCAGTCGATTAGCCCCATCTCATTTTTCTTCGATATTTTACTCCAGCCACTCATTACCATGTGTATGCCTTCTTCCCAACTGCGATTTTTGTGCCGATACTCAGGCGGCTGTGATCTCAGCGGTCTCCGTCGCCATTACTTTCCTATTTGCTTCAGATTTGTCACTTCGGTGGAACTACACCGATCTTACAACCATTGTTTTCCGCTCCCTTCCAGACAACTTTAGTGAGAGCGACGTCATCGATCTCTTGAAGGAGATGGATATTATGAAACAATTACATTCTCATAAGCATATTATCCGCTTACTGGCCGTGTGTACCCAGAATGGTGAGTCCCCTTGTTGTTGTGAGAACTCTTTGACCGGTTGGTTCAGTTGATTAACTGTTTTGAGCTATATGATGTTATTAGACCAATGGGCCACCCGTTCAAGCGTTGTCACTTTCTATAGCCGACGCGTGGCAACCTCTACCGGTGCCGCAAACGAGGTAAGTTGTTAAAAATTCCGACACCATTAAGCCCCATTTGTTACCTTTGACATAAATCTGCTCTTAACTACAGACACGCCTCGTTCTTTCCTCACGAGAAAGTGCCTCGCGTTTTCAACTGTGGCTTCCGTCAGTTGTTCACTGACCACCAATAACCTTTGAGACATCACTGAATCAGCCGTTTACTGTAGGGTATAGTTGAAAAAGTTAAATATTTCTTGGTGACGAAGTGAGACAAGTCATCATATGTATGGTTATTACAGACACGATTAAGTACAAAGCATCAAAACAGTAAGTCTCATAAAATGATCGATTTTGTCTTTCGGTGAGACAGAATTTATACGTATGCATCCTGGACTATGCGATACACTTCCGTACCGGCATAAACATGGTGGTCCATTTGGGTACAGGACATCAAACCTTGGCAGATCAGGACAATTCAGAAGCTGATAAGTAATACACATTTGGATGGACGCGTGTGATACCCAAGGGAAAGAAACGTTACTTTGTATTGCGTGATAAGATTGAGAAAACTTATCCCAGTAAAAGTATGCTAGTTAGTTGGGGTACTAAATAGCAATATTTAGAGTGATCACCCAGTTATAAAGCAAAATTGTGTGGTAATTGCAAGTTGTGTTTGAGTTTGTCCCGCTTATGTTTGGTGTGATCAAATTCATGAGCTAGATGGGGAGCTAGAACTGGCTTTTTCTGTTTCTGGGTTTCATACTTCGCAATCCTTAAAATATACTTGAAGCGATTTCGTTTAGGGTAAAATATGGGGAATATCCCTGTAAGTTTATAAGGTATATGGAATTCCTTATGCAACTTCCACAGGAATGCATCCACAAGTAATAAGGAAACACTTGTTATTGACCTCTTCGTTAGTAGCGACTTTGGGCAACATGTCAACACATCACTGAAGAAGCATCCATATGTGGAAAACAGCAAGATATGCATCAGGTATCAGAACTGAGTGTTTTGGCGCTAGAGATCGCTTCAACTGGGATCCATGTCCATTAATTCCATCTCACTCTTTGACCGTTTATGGGACTTCTACGTAGTGACCACTGACACGGTTCTACTTGGATGTCTGAAGGCCGGAGAAAGTATTCCGTTTGTCCTTAAGTCTCTCCAAGATTGTATGTTCATGTAAGTCCGTTTTCAAGTGTAGGTGGTAGGACTGTGACTCTAGCCTGAGACATTAGGGTAGCATTCGAATCATTTGCGCCTCAGTCATCGCTTACATTATTCCATGGCGAGGTGGTTAGTTGCGTCGTTTTGTTGCCGCGCTTCGCATTCTTCTTTGTCTGAGGAGATTAGTGACAGGCTGCCTGACTATATTTCCTGCACACACCGTAACCTCGGTATGAGCTCCGAACGTGAGACGAGGAGGTGTGCGGACGTAGAGACCAAATTTTTTTAGATCCTACTTACCTTTCTGTTAGACTGCGCTGTTTGCTCCTTATTTCGGTTACCGAGAGAAATGGGTGTATTTGCTGGTGTAACGGTGCGAAAACTCATTTATTTCAACTCTAAGTTGACTATCGCCACCGAGTAACGTCACACCGAGGTGAGCTCACTGGTGAGACCCCGTGGTTTCCAGCCATACTTGTCCAATTCATTGACTAGGTTATATGGAAGTTGCTAAGAAACAGAGAAATTTCTAGGCGTATTCATTTCTAGTGTTAAACCCAGCAGTCAGCTTCATCCTTGTTCCCATTCATCAACCCTAGTTACCTCCACCAAGACTCGAAACGATCGACTAGTTTTTTTTAATCTGAATGCTTTAATCAACAGATCCGCGGACTCCACGCTTGTGACCTTTATCGAGGTTTAATTATGGCGTTTGGTATGATCAGGGTTAGATGATGATATTGGTAGTAACGCCAGTCTTCATATGTTGTGTTGCTCTGGTGATCGCAATCTCAGTAATCCGATTAGAATCAACTCATGGGGCCAGCTGAAATTAGCTAACACTACCCGAACATACACCTTTTAGCTCCCACAAAATGTAACGAACGTGAAGGTACGTACGACTTTTTTCTGCCTTTCATGTTAAATGCACTTTAATCACCTCCCCATATCCTGGTTGTCCCCTCTCTGGATTTCACCGATCGGCAGAGAAACACCACTTCATGTTGCGCTTTTCTTGCCGCACTCTCCCATTGAGTATGATCTCGGTCAGCAGATGGACAGTAAGCAATGATTTAGCACGGGTAAAAAAGCATGCGCTTGACAAGTCCCGTAGGAGGGTTGAGGTAAAAATTAAACTTGAAAGGATCAACGAATAAGTAAATGGTCATCTTAATCGTCTACCCATTTAAACGCACCACTGTATAATGATAGTTTGAAATGGGAATGGGATGTGCACACAGAATAGTATAGAGAGCTGTTATAGTTCAGTAAGTACGTGAGAAATAAAAAAGGACACGTAACGTTCACACGTGTATTGCTTCATTTGACAGATGTGTTCTAGTAATCCAGTTTAGGTACATCCATACTACTCACAAAGACCTTCTGCATGTATCCACATCGCCACGTTGCGGAGAGGGCGGTTAGACACATGGTTTGATTCGTGTTACTTCGTCCTCCGAATGAAACAAAGTAAACCAAATAATGCAAGTTGGATAGCGTGGCATCAAGGCGTTTTTGGAATAGCGTTAATGTAGGAGCAAGGATGACGTGAGTCGGAAGGGCGTTCCAGGCACGGAACACATGGAGGGAGAAAACATTTCGTCGGCAGTCAAGTCAACTGTAGTGCGTAGTCAGTTTGAGCTGATGGCCTCCCAGGTTGGTATTTTGCCTCAGCTGCAACAGATTGCGACATGGGTGAATTAGGTTCGTCAGTATTAAGTAAACCATGATGAGGTCTTCTTGATGAGGTCTATATTCGCCACTGTACGATCTCAGGGACTACAGTCTGCGTTGGTAGGGTAGATGAAATGATCCCCTGACGAGTTTGGCTACTCTATCTTGTACAGCTTCAAGTGCATCGACTTCGCGCTTGCACCAGTGATGCCAGGCCTTGATCGCATATTCCACGTGGGGCCTCATGTAGACATTCAGCATTTGCGGAAAGCTTGATGACTCGAAATTTCCGAAAGCCATCAGCAAGAGTCCAGGATGTTGTATAACTCTTCTCGATGCCTTTTCGGCACGTATTGAGCAGCCAAGTTCGTCCTGCACGATCAACCCAAGGTCGTTTTCTTGGGAAGCACATTTCAACTACTGGTCCCCAAGTTGATATTCATGGGTAAGCTGATGGCGTACGTTTACGACTTTGCACTTGGTCACGTTGAACTGGAGCCGATTATCGGATGACCACGCATAATCCCTGTCGAAATCGTTCTGCAATGTCATATGATCATCCTCTGTGTTGACGTCATGCTAGATTTTGACCTCGTCTGCATATTGTAATCAATTCAATTGCAGTACACTGCCAAAATCGTTAATGAATGCTAGGAATAAACGTGGCCCAGTATCGATTCTTGGGGCACACCACACTGGACGTCAATTGAGTCTGAAATGGAGCTGCAGACTCTCACATTCAGCTGACCTTGAATGAGAAAGTTGCCGCTTCAGCCGAGCACATGGTCACCGATTCCATAGCTTCGGAGCTTGTGAAGGAGAATAAGGTGGTCCAAACGATCAAACACTTTCGAGAAGTCCAGGTAACCGACGTGGACTCCTACTCTGGCATTGGCTGACTTCTGCTCAGCTTGCTAGGGCTAGGAGCAAGTTTCTAGTGCAAGACCGATTTCGGCGGAATCCGTGCTGCTGTGACACTAGGATGCTGTTGCTCTCAAGGTACATTTGCGAGACCCTCTCCCTGGAAAACATCACAGCGCAATCAAACTCGAGGCTGCGCCGTTCGCCAAACTACAAGAGATGTGGCCGGCGGATTGTGAAGTGGTCCTTCACTTTAGACAAATGTCAGCAATGGTAGGGGAGGGATGGTATGCGGGCCGCAGCAGCCTACCTTCAGAGCTTCGGATCAAAGCAGCATCTGCTAAGCCAACACACAAGAGCAGCCACTTTGTCAGGCCACTTACCGACAAGAGTTCGGATAACTTCAATCAGCTAGCCAACGAAACTGGCAAACACACCCTCATACATTACATACAAAGTGAGAAGTAAACTGGTAATGGTAGGATCCATGAATCGGACACAGTTGAGTTCGTCATCCCCCCACCCAAAAACGATTAGTTGCCGACCTTTCACAGGTCGGCACAACATTTTATTCAAAACACCCATCCGAGGATTCATTGTTAAAGACAGAGAAATTTTCCTATATGTACACCAATGCACAAGATCTCCTGCACAAGCTTGCCGAACTGCGGCTATGTCAAGTGTCACATGCCTGGGACCTCATCTTCATTACGTAAACTTGGTTGCACTCAGAAAGCACCGATGCCGAAGTCACGATTAATGTTATATCCACTCTCCGCAACGATCGACCTAGCAAAGGTGGGGCTAATGTTATACTACCGCAACGACCTGCAGTGCGAACCGGGGGCCGATCCGGAAACGCTGCTCATAAACTCACTGGTGCAGTCTGCGACTGAGACGCAACTGCACTTGCATTTTGGTCGTTGTTTATCGTCCAACAATGTCCACTCCAGAGATGGACTACCGCCTGGCATTATCCTTGGGAAGGGTCCTACGAGGACGATACAGTCATATTCTCATCTCAGGCGACTTCAATATTCATGATTTGAAAGTTCCGGCATCACCCAACGAGCAGTTTAAGGCCGACCGGCAAGAGCTTCTTGCGATGATTCCGCTCTTTAGTCATGTAAGTTCATCCATCAGGTTCAGAACGGGAAATAAGCTATCTATACT